AGTCACAATTTTATTTGAAAATTTAGCAGTTTTGGCTCCGATTGTCTGGTGAATAAACATGTGCGATACACTGGGTCTCCCTGAAAGTCTGTAGTTATCAAATATATTGTCACTCAGTGCATTTCAGTGACAAGAATCCTATTCTAAGGACACAGAGTGCAAAATGCTATGGGGTCAGGGAACAAGGAGAATGGTTTCAAAGTTAAAAATTACCTGAGACGAATCTTTGGTTTTGTCACTTGCATTTCTTGTACACAATTTTCTAGGTAAGGGGATGGTATTTTTTGTCTCCAAATATTCCTCAAATGTCCATCTGTCTTCAAATTTTTAATTTGCAAATACAGAATACAGAGCAGGGGGGACAGGCGGGCAAATCCTCCTTAGCAAGCAAGCTTTAGCGAAACTAAGCTAGCAGTTGCTGTCAGTGTCAGTGCTGCTGCTGGCTCAGTATCCATGGAAACTTGATTTCCCATCTTGCTGCAAGAATTAATTGAAGATCCCAACCCACTTGCTCAGGGAATCACTGTGATATTAACTCACATCCCGCTAAAAAGCTCACTTTAATATCTCAGATACTCTTTTCATCAGAACGCAAGGTTCAATTAGCTTTCACCAACCTAAAAGACAGTAAAAAGGCCATCTAAATCTTTACTGCCTCAAAACTAGGGCAGAGAACATAGAGCTACATCTAGAGCTACATCTTGGAGATCTACATCTTTCAAATGGAACTTGCCAAAAACGTCAGCAAGAGAGGGCACAGAGTCAGGAATGCTCTATGCAAATCTCATGTCCAACATCATATAGTTACCTCTATTTTCCACCTACGCCAGTAGCTGTATTATCTTGTGGGAAAAATTCACTGTCCATACTTCAGTATCAGACCACAACTTTGTCTTCCACAGTATATTCTTAAGATGTACTGTACGAAGCTTCAAAGAGAATAAGCCAAAAGGGACTTTTGCTGGGGAATATTGTTTCCAGACTTCTCTTTGAAGACTTTTCATTAATTACAAACATAAGCATGTCAATTTCCCTCAAGGTCTGCTTCTGGATCAAACATCTCTGATTATCTATCTTTGAACTTTCTTTCCTCTAATTTCCTGTTGAATTCCCTAGTTGCTGCCACCATTCCCTTTATTTTTTCCTGATCCCCAAATTGTCTTATCTGCTCTGCAATCTTTTCTGTTAGGACTCTGATTTTTTTCCATTTTCATCTTTCGGATACTTTGTATTTAGCACCTGGTCCTTTTGTAACCACGACAACTACATCACGATATCAGCAAAGGATCTCACTATTATCTGAGTTTGAACTGATGTTTAGTGTCCTGTACCCAGGGGACAAGTTTTGTTTGGAGTTTTCTATATTTTATATGTGAGCCAGGAAAGGCCAATTTCTTATGTTAACCGGTATCCTTCACACAACTGTCCTTCATCTTTTGTTTCCATTGTTGGCACACTGACCCTCCCAAAAATGTGGATCACTGAAGGAATGTTACCACAGGGAAGATGGCAAGGACATTATCAGAGACTGAGCACAGTCTTTGGATTAGATCAAAGAAGTTATGTTGCGTTGCTCTGTTACATCTCCAACACTCACAGTTTATAAGCGATTGGTTCAAACCGTTAATTACAGGTGCTGCGAAAACTGCATACACTTTGTTACAGAACAGTTTTGGATTTGTGGACATAGCTGAATACTACTGCTTTCTCTGAATGGCAAATGCAGGCAGGGGAAAAGTGAAAGTAATATTTTGAACTGACTTGATGGTAACTAAAGACATATTAGATAAATAGTTAGGAGGATGAAGAAATACCACAGACCAGTGGAAGACCTCTGAAATACAAGGACACCGTATTGTTAAAGGAAATAATTTCCCCTTCTAGCTGGACTTACAAATTACATGTTGTGTTATATTGTTACTCACCAAGACTGAGAAATCCATCTGTGGTTAATCACAATAACAATTCTATGAAATGCTGCGTTATGTAGAGTACAAATATGCAGCAATGCATCCGTAGAGTACTACGTGCACGCTGGACCAGATCTGTAGTTCAGACCAGGCAATGTTGCTTCTAGAATTTTTGCATTTTCCAATTGAATAGAGAAGGGAGGGAAGAGCAGCAGTTGTTGTTGTCTTGGATTTTTTTATGCTTTATCACAGTATTTTCAGTTACCATGTATGCTATGAAACAAATGAGATGCTTCAAGTGAAATCTAATAAACACATTAATTTTAGACATGTCACAATAATGAATCCTACAAGCTAGCAATTATGGTGTTACAGACTTGTGTCTTGGGGACAAACCTTCAGCTTTTGCAATGAAAACAGGTAAATTCACTTTTTCTTATTCCCAATCTACGGAAGCCCAAGGAATTTTTTACAGAATACAAGAATTTGACAACACCTCCTCTTGTACTCGTTAAATAAGAGGAAACACAATGTGCCTATATTGAACTCACGCTGTTAACGTTCCCATTTGCACTCCCTTTTCACTTCAGTGGTACGTGACATTCAACTTCAGCGGTACGTGACCAGTTTTTTTGCGTTGCATTCGATAAACATTAAATCCTTTGACAAAAAAACATCACAGACATATTAACTACCTAATCTCCCATCCTACCTCTTCAGTAAGTTATTGTTCCTGAACATATTTTTTTTCCCTTTTATTTCTCAAGGTTGATCTGTGACAAAAATTTCAAACTAAAGCACAAATCTTGCTTCAAAGAAAATTTGAAGGCAAAATTTACTGCCAAGTATTGAAAGAGAAACCAATGTTTAAGTATATAGTAAGCTAAAATTCACAATCTTCCAATAGGAAAAGTCTCACAGTACTTAGAAGTGTCATAGACTAACAGGATTTTCTTCATCTTGATTGTGAAAGCTGAGGAAAGGAGTGTGATTGTAATAACACACAAACACATCACTAGAGGCGAGGTTCCCCTCCCATTTCATGACTTAGCCCATGAAATAGGGCTAAGCCCTAAGCCCATGAAATAGGGCTAATAACACACAAACACATCACTAGAGGCGAGGTTCCCCTCCCATTTCATGACTTAGCCCATGAAACTCATGAAATAGCCCAAATCTGGACCGTATCCTTATCTTGATTTTGGATCTGCTTAAACTGTTCTATTATTGAATGCTAAGAATTTTTACTGGAAGCTGAGCAAGAACTTTAAAATCAGCATGACTGAAAACTCATTGCTGCTTCCTCATTAATATGCCAGAAAGACTGTCTGACATTTCTATGGAATGTCTGTGCTCTTGGGACTGATGATTCAGTGCAGAGCTGTTTGGAATTTCTACAAAAGTTCAGCCCTCCTCCCTTCTCAAATGGCTTAATTTTACCAATCTGTCAAGTAAAACTAAAAATAATGAGTCTGTGTGCAATTACAAGGGGAAGGATGGAAATTTCACTGCACAGTGTATTAGGTAACTCATTAGAAAGCAGAAGCTGCATTTTCAAAAGCAGTGTGAAATATATCTCCCACGTTTAATTATTTTTTTTTTCTGCAGGTAGAAAAATAAACTATGCTAAAATTTTAAGGTGCATAGTAATACCCAAACTAAAGGAGGATGCAATTAAGATTTCTGTGAGGTAAATTTGATGAAAAAAGTGTTCCTTGCTTGTCAGTTTCATGAAAGATAAGGAAAAAACTGATTAGGGCTAGTAACTCAAATTCAGTGGTCATTTCCACTGGAGCCTGCTAGCCCAGGAGAAGAAGCAGCTTAGCCTCAAGAGCTGCCAATGATTCTAGTAAACAGTTAAACTCAAAGTCCAAACCCAGTGCAGCTGCTCCTGTAATCATTCTGCACAGGTCAACTGCTGCTGGAGCAAGTGGGGATACGAAATGTCATAGACATATACAAAGAGGAAAATAACCACATCATTTTTGCATATGCCCAGAAATATAGTCGAACACTTTCTATTTACAATATAAACGTTTCAGGTTTCAACTGCTGAGTTTAGGAATGGCCAATCTGACCTGACTAAAACAGAAGAAAATCTGCTTCCTTCACAAGGACATCCAGAGAGTTGGAAGGATGGCAGCAGGGGTTGAACTAGATGATCTTTAAGGGTCCTTCCAACTCAATCCAATCTACGATTCTTTGATTCATTGCATTGGCAGGAAAAACTGACAGCAAGGGGGTAAAAAGAGAAAGGCTCCATCTACACAAGAGTTCACTTTGGGGAGATAAAAGACTGCCAAGCTGAATTTCAAAGCCAAAAAGGATTTCAACTCAATCCAAAACAGAGACTCAAGTCCATTACTACTGTTATGAAGTTCCAGCTAGAGACCACAGTTCATCAGCTTCAGACTTATGTTATCCAAAACACCAAATATAAAGATGCCACTAGAACCCTGCTAGCTGACTTCCTCTCTTATCCCAGCCACTACAACTGCTAGCTCCCAACTACCCACTTTACCTGCTAGCTGGGTCTGTGGAAGACAACTGTTACTGATAGCTACAGAAAATTCTTCTCACAATCCACTTCTACCTTGTAACTTCACAAACCCTCCGCCTGTTGTCTGTACCACAGGCTTTCCAGTAAGTAAGCTGAGTTCTCGCTCCCTGGCTCTGCAAGACAATTTTTATTCCCTGACCACTCTAATGTTTCATGCCTAGGTACAGTAGCTATGTAGTCCTGATTAAACATTTGTGCTTCTGCACATGGACTGAGGAAAAGATAATTCACCATTCTCTAACTTTGCACATATGAATGCTTTCCAACCTCTGTCCTCCCCAAATGTTATTTGCAATTACAATTCCGGTAGGTTTCCTAGATGCTTTAACAGCAATGGTATTTTGTTCTGCAGGAACAAAAAGGCCACCTAACAAATACGCTAGTGATATGAATCCAAGTCCTCAGGTAACAGCTGGGATGCAGACACAGCCTGAGAGTGAGGAACGTTTATGTTCCTGTATAATGCCAGGACAAACCAGATTCCCAAAATTTGCCTTATTTTTGCATAGCAGAAATAGCAGGACTCTGTGTTCATTTTCATGTATTTATTCATTCAACAATGGAGAGGGGGAAAGGCAGAAGACTAAACACGTAAGATGAAGATAAACTAAAATTATACAGGAGCACAATTTGAAAAGATAACAAAACAGCATTTTTAAAAATAATATCCACAGGCATCAGTAGCAAGAAACTGAGGGGGGAGAAAGGTATGTAAACTCACTAGCAAAGAACAAAAAGCCATACCTTCAACAAATAAATCTATAATCCTATTCTGATGATACATGTAGATTTAAATTCAAAGTATCTGAGACATTTATCTGTCAAAATAAACTGGAAATAAAAAGTGAATAAATAGCCTCCAGAACCTTTCTCCCCCACCCACATGAATAACTAAACCTTATCACAGCAACTTTTTCTTTAGAGGTGCCATCATAGACTTGTGATCAGCTGTTCCTGGGAGTACCACTTACCAGAGAGACCCACATGAGACAGCAGCAAGAAGTAGTGTTCGAAATTTATTCCTTAGATGATGCCTTTTTGGTCCCAGCAATCTTCAGCAAGCTGATACAGCCTGAATAGACATAGTAAAATGAGCTTTTCCAAACACTCTCTGACCCAAACAGAAGGGCTGTCTTTCCATGTGTATGACCCTGTTACGTCAGAAGGGAACTTAGCCAGGAAAGCCACTTCTAGTGGCAAAGGTCAAAATAATTGAGAAGAGAAATAAGGACTAGTTGTCACCCTGTGGAATGAGAGTACATCTGCATTGTTAAAACCTTTTGCCATATACTCTGGACAGAAATGGAAGATAAGCAATGGGCCCTTTAAAATAGGCACTTCAAAAAAGAGAATGTTAAAAGATACCTAATAAGAGTCTGGGTATTAAAGAAAGCACAACACAAGACCCGGGTTTTGTACATTGAAGTCATTATACTGCAGCAAGTGACCAAACTTAATGACTACAAAAATGAGTGACAGAATTCCAACAACTCCTCCTCTTAGGAAAACTCCATTAACCCAGTCATTTAACACCACTGTGCTTCAGCACATGGGTAAAAAGCTGACAAGTGTCATAACGAGGCGTTTTCCAATGTGTGTTTAATTCCAAACTACCCTCTGGTCATCAAATAAACTGAGCAGTATCAGAGACAGGAGACTGCACTAGCTGAGCCAATTCAGTTTGCATTGGCCTTTTCTCTGCTTTCCCTTTTCGGAAGTAGTAGCCTTCCTGCACTACAGTGGTTCCAGCCATCAGTTACCTTATTCTTGTGGTAAATACAGAATGGGCACAACAGCTGGCTTTTACAAAAATTAAGCTATTAAATGCTGCTTAATTCAATTCAATATATTCATCGCCCCAGATAAGCAAGCAATTGAAGCAATGTTATAATTTCCATTCAGTTGCTAGATTTCCCAACAGAGCCTAGGATTTCCCAACAGAGCCTAGGAAAAAGGAAAAGCTTGGAAAACAAAAATCTGTGATTTGGTTTTGGCTAAACTTACATCAGCACACTTACTATAAAACCAACATTGACTGTTGACAGTAGAGAGCCTTTATGTTAGCTCTACACTGGCAGACATAAATACACTACATACAAGGTTTAGCCACAAAAGCCCATTCCTACCTCCCTCAATAATAAATTAATTTCTTGTAACTCTTTAACATTACCAAATGTTTCATAGAATGCACTACATGCTCTTGGGATGGGGCATGTCAGGGTAATCCACAACTCGTACTTGAAATTTAGCACCTGCCCAAAAGCACTGTGTTAGTTTACTGAATGCTGATCATATGATGGGAAAATAGAAACGAATATATTTTATTCTTCTTGCTTTCCCCCTGCCAAAATCTGACATTGAAGAATCCTCAGGACTATTCTAGATTCTATTTCTCTTTCCTACAGAATCATCCTGGTATGTCCTGGATCCACCTTCAATCTGCAAGTCTCCATCTATGCTGTTGCAAATAAAAGAATTTCTCAACATTGGAAAGAATCTCATGCTGTTACATTATGTTCTAACATCAGCTTTTCCATGTAAGAATGTCAAAATCTCATGGACCCATATTATCATGTATGGTTAACAAATATGAAAAGTCAAGTTCATTTTGTGAAATGTGTGCACCATTAATTAGGTCACTGACTTTTAAAAAAATCAAAAAACCAACCAAATCTGAGCTGTTCTTCAGAATGCTAACTCTCTGTTGCCATGGTCACAAATTACCATAGTAACATTAGATACATCTGTATTTTTAGATTAAAGTTGCTTCTCTTTTCAGAGAAAATAGAGCAAAATGAAAGAAAATACTCATCCTTACCAGGAAATACTACTAAAATTCAGAGTATAAAGTAGAGCAACACACAGCAATTGGTTAATTGCAAAAGGTGGCGAGGGGAAGAAGGCTGCGAAGAGGGGGGAATCACAAACATTGCCATTTTCAGAGCTGCTTCCTACAGCTAGAAAATGGCTTGAATGTACAGCAAAAACTAAAAAGTGAGGATAGTTATTCTGTAATGCTATTGTCTCAGCAAGCCGCACTAGACAGTGGCTCAATTAGAATGCCCAGAATAGCCTTTTCAGTCAGAGGTTAATAGCAGTATTATTTCATATTTCTCCATTACAGCCCCAGCTTGTTTTCTCCCTCACCCCCAAGGAGGACCTTCACTCATACATAGGAAATATTGCTGTTCAACTGCCATAATTGAAGTTAAAACTGTTATGAGACCTGTCTCTGCTCTCTCATGTTCAGTGGTTTTATTTTATGCTTATACCCTCTAGTGGACAAAAAGTAACTCACAACCCTCCTAGTGTCTTTAGATCAGCACTGTGCTAACCGGGGACTTGGATGTTAAAATGCCGAGTCAAACCTAAGCATCTCTAATTTGAGATTCATTTCAGAAATAATCTAAGAGAGAAGTCAGAAATGACGAGTTCATTAATGCAGTGCTTTCCCAAATAAGGCAGCAACACAAACACAGAATGTTTATATTAAATACTAGGTTTGACAATCGGGAAAATTTCTCTCAATTTTATAATTTTAGTCAATGTTTTTCTTTTTGGTAAGTTACGAAGCATTACTTGCGATAAAAACTTAGTTCCTTGGTATGTAAAACTTTATATGCTTGCCATCCAGACTAACTTTCCTCCCAAACCTGCTACAAAGACCACGACTGAATGCCCTATCTTTGAAAGTCAGTATAGCAATGCATTTCCACTGCTGCCAGAAATGCTTTAGTGTTTTACATAGTCTCAGACAGTCATATATTACAGAAGACTTGAGCTTTTGCTCCTTTAGTGTTCACTTATTTTTGCATTATTCCCATAAATGCTACTTCTAACATCATCTGGTTAAATGCTGACAGAATGCTCTTGACCACAGGGTCTGCTGTAAGCACATTTCAGCCAGAATCCACTGCAAGAAAAGGGAAATATGTCAAACTATGCTATTTGCAATAGATGCTTACATTCCACCTGGGAATCTAGCCTTAGGCCTTGTTGTACCATTTACGTGTATCACTGTAGGTCATAGGTTTAACTAACAAAAAAAAAAAAGCTAAATGACAGCTCTAATACAGTATATTTCACATCCCCACAGTCAGTAAAATGGAAGCCAGCCCTTGCCTAATAAGAGTAAACATAAAAACCAGAACCAATTCACAGAAGAACAGGAGCTCAGAAAGAGAGCGAGAAAGGAACAGAGAGTTTGCAAGGGGCTTTAGGCAAAGATTTTAGGCATATAAATAGCAATGACCTAAATTTACCTGCAAAGTTGCAAAAAAACCCCACCACAATTTGCCACTGTTTCTTTTCACTTTGTATTATTTTAATTCCTGTTATCATCTACAAGAGCACTGGAAATTCTGACGTTGAATTGTGGGATTCTACAGATAACTGTGCATATGAGCATAGCTAAGTGCAGCACTTAGTTCACCCAAAAATGCAGGCTTTGGCAGGGGGCAGAGGGTAGAATTTTCCAGGCAAACATATCCTCTGAAGCTTCCTGCTAGTGCTTCTCCAGCATAACACCTCTACAAAAGTGACAAGAGATGCTTGATATTCATCTGGTCCTCCCTGCAGATCAGTTGCCTGCTGAGGTAAAACTAAAACTTTATTGTTCTGAAGGGATGAAAGTTTGAAGAATCTCAATGTATGTAGCTCAAGCCCAGTTTGAAAGGGATGGGGGGGGCAGGGGGGAAGCAAAGGGGGAAGGGAGGGAGGGAGACAGACAGAGACTGACTCCAAGCGAGAAATCAGGCTCAAAAAAGAAATCAAGCTCTCCTCTGTACAATGCACAGTTTAAGTGTTGCTTGAGGCTCAGAAAGTTAGCAGTATTTACTGGACAACTCTGTAAAATACACAGCTCATTTTCTACTCTAATGCTATCTATGAACATGTTCTTAGCTGCTATGCAGTTATTGTCTCCATTTACTGTTAAAAGCAACTGTTTCCACAATTTATTCTGCATATCTCAAGATCCTTTTTGAGGCCGCTAGGCTTTTTAACAATACCTATAAGGAACATTAGGAACGAGTTATGTTTATAGTGTCTTGCAACAGAGCCAAATTCCAGATGAAAAGTGACCAGGAAACATTTCTCCTCAGTAACACTAAAACACATTCCCATACAGCATATGCATTTCCGCACATATTATCAGCTCTTAAACATTAAACTCAACAGATTCCAGACCAGAAATAGCACACAGGAACTGGCAGTGGGTGGCCCTGTACTGAGTTGTGAGGATGAACTAGATGACCCCTGGAGGCCCCTTCCAACTCTGACCTGAACCTCTATGGTTCTACAAGCTCATGTAACTCATGCAGTGCTTTTCTGTTTTTTCACATCTCTGGCTTTGCAAGACAACTCACAAAGCAGCACCAGACAGCACATTACAAACTCCTAGTGGCTAAAGCAAGAAAAGCTATAGTACAGACCACTTACACTGAGATGTCATTCAGCATCTGCCCAGCAAGCAGTAATGTGACAATATGGGTTCCCATTAGAATACAACTTTTTTTTCCCCCAAATTTCTCTCATAGGGAGCAATCTTAGGGAGCAATTCACACTTTCCAGCATTATATGCAACTTTGGAAGACAGAAAGGAAACAGCTAAATTCAACAGCTGCTCTCAAACACACAATGACACTTCACAGTTAACTTGTGAGCCTCCTTAATGCAATGCTATGTGTAGATCAGAGAACCAGCACAGTTCTCCATAGATATCCTACTTTTCTCCTAAGGCACTAAAGTTCCTGCTGATTAAGATGGCGCAGAGCTAATAACCATTTCTGCAAAGTTGTGGTTCTCTAGAAATCTTACTTTCTAAGAAAGTATATTGCGAGGGAGTCATATTTCCAAGAGGGATGTATAAAAGAAAGCCCAGCACTGCAAAAGCACACTGAATGGAATTCACTAAAATGAGGGAATGTGAAACCTCCGCAGAACAAGCTTTGTAATTTTAAGAACACCAGCACCCCTCTCTATATATACACTCTACCTACCAAGGAAATCATTGTAGTCTAAAGGAAATCAGTCCCAGAAACATAAAGCTGGAGAATCACAAACTCCATTTAAAAAAAGTAGGTAACAATGATGTTTAGGTAAAATGTAAAGGTTTAAAACCTGACAGTTGTTTCCCCTGTATTTTCATATTCCTTACCCACTATGGAGGATTACTGCCAAACAAGAAAACATTTTTCCCTTTTATGCAACAAATCATTAAGTTTCTCACACAGGAAACCACATTTCAGTATTTTTTTTTCCAACAGCAAAACACTGTCCCGTACTACTACACAGAACGAAAGCAAAACATTTCTTTTCAAAAGGCAGTCATGGCTTCAACTTTGTATGTCATGGTATAGGTATTTTAGGATAACTTTTAGGCACACAAAGTTTGACACACACATACCACGCTCTTCAGCCCCCACCTTCAAGTATAATTTTCTGTTACTGCACTTCTCTCCATGGCCAGGCAGATTAGAAAAAGGCTCTAAACATCTACCAAACACAACGGGGTTCTACTGGTAGGTGAAGATTTAACCATTTGCTTAATTGCACGATGAAGCCCACAGATGATACTGAAGAGAAACTACATTCCAGCATTTCCTGCTGAAAACACGGAACAGCGGCTGATAAAAGCATTTTATCAAAACAGCACATTCAGCGTTCTCATTAACAAGAGAATTTCTATGCAAGACAGTGCATCCAATGCAGAACTATATCTAGAAACTCACTAAGAGGTCACGTGGGCGGTGGTAGATCTGCAGTGGCTTTGATCAAGCAAAGCACAATCTAGCAGTCACATTTGTACTAGAAGAAAACAGTATCCATGCTAAAACACTGGTCTTGCTCTGGGTAAGTTCTGCTGCTTGACATCATCAGCTTCATATCACACACTAGATAGTCCCTGACTCTACTGCAGACACCCTCTTGCAACCAAAAGCCAATTGCCCCGTATAAACAAAAGAGTAAAATTGACCCATATTTACCCACAAGCTAACGACATCAAGCATCAATGCTAAGTAAAAGCTACTTAGCACAAGCCTCAGCTCAGGAAGACAAAGATTAATCCAAATACTAGAACCGAATCTTCAGAAATTCTTCCTGTGCTTCAAAGCAGAAAAACCATGACAAATAAATGGATTCTAGAGAAGATTCTGGAAAGTCACTCCATGGAAATCCAGTAATCGTAGACTATCACAGTGCACGCACAAGGAAAGGGCAAGAAGATCAGCACAAGGGGAGACTTGGCTTCCAAACCAAGTCCCTCACAATGATTTACATAAATAATTTGCTATGCACAATTTTAATTTTAAAAAAGTAAAAATCAAGAAACATGGTCATAGACATACTCGGTACATAGAGAACAATGGTTCTCTCTTGCTCAGTAAAGTCTAGGACAGAAATTCCTCACAACTGGATCTTCCACATAACCATGGAAGATTTTATCTGTTGTCTGGAGAGAGGAATTTCCTTTGGAAACAGAAAGTATTCCTGCTTCAGGACATGCATATGAAGTTTTCTAATAAACTAAAAAAGAACAAAATAATTGGGGTTTTTTTATGAAACGCAGAACCAAATCAAGTATTTTCTACTGGCTTCTGGATAATTTAGGACATATATTTCTGACAAGACACAAGTTTATAACATGGACTGTGAAGTTCAAATTTTTAAAAGCTACAAAAAATATTAAACCCAACTTAATTGGCTTCCTGAAATAACTGGTGAATTCAACAGCAAACAATTTGCCACCAAGACAATAAAACAATAAAAAATGCAGTCCTAATCTTCAACTTTATAAACTTTTGAAAGGCTATTCTCTAGGACAGAAATGCTTGTGGAGCATTAGCTGCAGAAGTGCTTTCATACCTCTTTCATACCTCATACCTTTTACAACAGCAAAATACTGGGCTCTGTGAAGAATTCACTGTAATTTCAGAAATGTGACAGCAAAAGTATGGGATGCAAACACCCTCATGTAGGAGCCAGGTTCCTTTGGTAACTAATTTCAGTGAAAAATAAGACCATCAAGTATTCATTCAGACACCCATATCTATAATGGTGCACCTTCATTATAGATCTTGGTAACAAGAACCCTACTCTTAAATTTTCATTGGCTCAGCTGGCACGTGTACAGGGGTTCTCCCCATAACAACGTTCAAGAGACTAGCATGGCTTGTCATTATGCAAATTTTCTCTGCAGCACTACAATTTCCCTCCCACAATACATATTCTACATTCCTTGTCATTTTCTGTCCCAAGCGTTAAGTATTTCTTGAGTCTCAGGACACTGATAAGCATGGCACATGTCAGACAGAAAATCTGTGCAAGGGCTGCAGCAGGATAAAGCAAGAGGACAAGATTAATCAGTATTAACCAGTATTGTGCCCTAGTGCTTGCTTTTTATCCCCCATAAACGAAATCCTGAAGTTAGAGGAACACAACTGTTATTTCAATCAACTGTTTCAGTTCTCGTGTCCTGAGGATTGACTCTCCTAAAGCTGAGAGGTGAGGGCTTCTGAAATTCTCAAGTATGTTCACAGACTATTTTGAGACAGATTTTCTCCAGACATCTGCTAGAATAAAAGAATTCGTCTGAAGTAACAAGCAACACAATGACATGAGTTCAACTGCTAAATGGCAAAGCGAGTATGTTTGCCATTGAACTGCACGAGACGCACCTCATTCTGATGCTCTCACAGAAGTCAAAGTGAGCATTAGAACCTGAAATGAAATTCAAGCAGTTTCAAAAAGAGCCGAAACTTAGAGACGCCAAACTTTCTTTCTCAACAGTAACTTCTACCTACTCCATCATATAATGTGCCTGTAAGAGCACATTTCCTTTATCAGTTTTTCCAATTATCTCTGTTCCAGAAAAAATTATCACCTTCCAGAAAAAATAAAATAAAAACCAATCTCTTCATCTTCCAGTATGAGTAGTGGGAATCTAGCATATACCTCCCATGAGCCAGTCCTTTATGTTCAAAAGCACTCAGCACACATCACTTCAGTCACTTTCTCAAAGGTGATGGACATATCAGGTACAGTCCATTCTTAAGGAATATGACTCACGGTGGGCACTTCTTAACAACACACAGCTGCAGGAGAATACCCAGAGCAAGATAATACATTTTAGAGAGCCACCCACCCTGCGGAACTCCAGTGTCTAGTATTTTTCCAGCTTCTGTGCAATGGATGTCTCTAACCCTAGTCAGTTTTTCCAGCAAAGATTCTCAACTAGAGTTATACAGTGGGAATTCCAAAGCAACTGGCTATGTACAGACATATCAGCATTCTCTCCAACAGAGAGATGAAAAGGAGAAAATTCCTGAGGATTTGTATCCTCTACTCTGCTTTCTGAATCCCAGCCTCCCCCTTGCCTTGGAATAAGCTCTGTAAAGCAGTATCGGTTATGTACAAGAATCTCAGCTCCCTTCCTTTGGAGAGTTTCCCCATAAAAGCGAAAGGCAAATCCCAGGACAGAGACAGGTGCCGGGGGGGGGAGGTCGCCTTAGGAGGACTCGCCAGAAGCAAGAGAGCCAGCAGCTTTCTTCTTAGGGCGGGCTTTTACACTTCTCACTGGAAGCTGAGGAGAAATAAAAAGAAGCATCTTAGGCTAGTTTATTTTAACATCTAAATGTGTAACAGAAAGATGAAAGAATGGAGAGTGAAAACACAACGAAAGAACTACGACATGACCCAACTGTCATCTGTTGTCTCAAAATGTCTATTTAACCCTTTTTTTTTTTTTCCCAATAAACAAGTCACTCAACATATCCATCAAACAGCAACCAGGAAAAGGCATTCTAAAACAAGGTACAGTAGTAAAATCAAAGCCAGCTGTCCAAACAAAAGGTTAAACACAGACACTTCTGGCTGGTAACATTCACATAACATATCACTGCTCTAACTTTTCTGCTTCCTACCTTCCATCACCAGAGCAGTTCTCTGAAAGCTGTAGAAACATCCTGAACTAATTTGCACACTTCCCTTATGTGTCTTTCATTCTAGATATTGGTAAGAAGAGCACATTTATTCATCTATGATGCATTCAGCCCTGGTTGGCAATCTCAGAGATCTCAGTCAAAGACCTCCTACAAGCCCTGCATCTGACCCAAAGATCCAACAATCTGAGCATGAATACCAATATGCCTGCAAAAGGCTTTATCAGTACTTCTGTATTCACAACAAACAGCACAAAAGAGTTCTTTCTGTCTTTTTATAATTTCACTTTGAAAAGTCCTCACTAGAAAGCTTCCACTCAAATTTTGAGCCTCTTGTTTTCCTGCTCCTGTCTAATACAGAAGACAAGAAAGAAGAGGGGTCAACTCAGAAATAAGCCATAGAAAGATCCTAGATAAATTAAAATGCATATTTGGACACAGCTGTCCACTCTTAGAGAAAATCAAAAGCCACCTGGACCTGGTCCTGGGAACTGACTCTACACGAGCAGTGGGTTTGAACCAGGTGAATTCAGAGAACCCCTCCAACCTCAATTATTCTGTGATTCTATTACAAGGAGCACTTAAACACATGCAAAGGTTTCCCCTACACTGTAAAATTAGGTTAACAGTACAACTTAAAATCATGCCCTAATCAATTACTTTCCTTCAAACTATTTAATATTTAGCCTGAATAGCTCGACAATTTGAGTCAGTTATATAGCACTCTTTATCTTAGATAAAAATAATAACATTAAGGGTCCAACTTGAATCAAGCAAATAGGACCCCAACTTCATAAAAAAGGAGAAGCATTTTATCATATACATATCAAACCATAAGAAACACTCAAGCAAGTGTCAAGACCTCGAAAGCAGCACCTCAAAAAGCATTTTCTACAAAACACACTTGAAAACACTTGAAAAAAAGATTGCTAAGCTCAAGCGATTCTAGGACACAACTGCATTTACTTTCCTGTATGGTTTATTTTAATATTAAGAAATCGGGCATCTCATGTCCCATCTGAATGGCTGTAAATACCTTGAATCACCATGTGAATATAAGGAGATGACTGAGCAATCACTAGTTACTCAAACTTTGAGAACAAACTCCAGGAATGGGGTAGATGGGGACTGGTGCAATTTCCCATACCTAATGTGTAAACGTCAAGGGAGGCCTAAGAGGGTACACAACTGCTGCATTTAGATTAAGAGAAAGTGGCTGCCCCAGGGATAAATGTCACTATTACGTATTTAGACTGTAGCAGATAGTAGAGAGGATTATTGTCAACAAAACACGGTAAAAATATCCAATGCTCTACCCTTCAGTACAAAACCCAAATGAAGGAAAAGCTGGGTTCTGGCTTATGACAGAGGCTTACAGGCATGATAAAAATGCAAAAGTTAGAGACAAGTATAGCAAGTAGACGACAGGTCCTCTGATGTAGGACTCAACTAGAAAAGACAGTAAAATTTATATATACAGCTTTTAAATGCTGAGTCTATAAAGCTAGAGCCTTCCAACCAAGTTCACAAATCAATGTCAGTGCTGGAAATTATCTATACACCAACTCACTTCAGCTTTCATCACCTTTTTAGGAGTTTTGAGACTCTGGGTACGTTTAGGAAGTTTGTCTCCTGCATCTTCATCTGATGGGTCTGTTCTAGTATCTGACGGGGTTCCATTAGATCGATGTGCCATGCTGCTCTCCTCTCCTGAGGAGTAACAGGAAGCTAAGGAACAAGAGCAAAAGTTTTAGCAAATACTCTTAAAATAATCTCATGAGGTTTAAAATGGCCCATCCTCAAGGAACACATGACAGAGAGACCATCTAGAATAATGATTATGGGATAAGTACAGACATGTATATGAAATGAGAAGGCTCTAGGGAAGACAGTACAACTTCTCCCAGATAATTTACAATCTTGTACTCCTTTCTGAGACCCAAGGCTCAGGGAAGCCCTCCTGGCTCACAATCCGAGGTCTCACACAATGGCCCAGCAGCTGCTCTGTACCTGAGTCTTCAATAGTTTCCAGAAGACTTGCAGCAGAGGGGTGCAGCTGTGGATCATGGCTTCGCATATGCACATTATCTTCATCTCGGATCAGAGTGAGATCCTGCATGCTGAAACTTCGAAGCTTCTCAGACAAAACTCCCTGGCCCTAAGAGGACATAAAATTAGGGTGAAAGGCACCTCATCAAGATCATCTCACATGGGATCATTCATTCAGAAGAGGAGCAAAGGTGCCCTATTCCCCACTAGGGTACTCTGAAAAAAACAGAGAAGGGAAAACAACAAGTAAGAGGTTAAAGCAAAATGCACTCTACTCCCCCTCTACTACTTTTTCTAAGTCAAAGGATGGGATTATCTGCAGGGCAAACTGGAAGGAAGCAAAAGTAGGCTGCTGCCAAACAAGTACTAGTATCCTTAACAAATCCACAGCACCTAACTGCTGGCACACAAAAATAAACTGCTGGAGAATTCATGAATATTACAGAAGACACTGTATTACCTTTGCAGCTGCAGTAACTGCTGCATTGGCAGCAAGGTTTAACCCCCTCTTGCCAACTCGCATCATCGTTTCGTAGCTTTTGTCACAAGCCTGAGTAATGTATTCATCAATTTCCTAGGAATGCAACACGGAACATGGCATTTAGCTGCTTGTTACAAACATGGTCAAAGTTTCCCCATCATCCCCCTTAAAAACACAAAGCTCATCTGGACACTCTTTTTTCAGGCTACTAGCATCAGGTGCCATTGATCACATAACTTGAGTTTCTCTGCTAATTACAGAAAGCATGTAAAATGCAGCTTTAAAATACAGTACGCTATTTCCAAACTATAACAACTGAAACAAAGCAGTTGCTTATACCAACAATGTGAAAAAACAGACTGGCCACAGAACATGCTCCTCCTATTGTGATTCAAAAGGCTTAACTACTGACAGTGACTGTAAGGGCTCATGACACTGGGTTAGCCAAACATGCTTTCTAAGCATCAGACAAACTATTGGCTACACTGCAATCTTCAGTAAGCTGCAGTATGACATCATTGTCAGACACAGAATCATTCTACGTTCACTAAGGTCAGCACAAGCAAGATTCACTGATTTTGGTTTTTATTGTGGCATAACTGAATTAGAAGTCAGTCAGTTCCCAGATAGGTCAGTATCTTCCAACAACAAGCAAGTACCTTCTCCTTATTGGAGAGCGTTGGGTGCACAAACTTCCTGTAGAGGACACTGGAGCCCTTGGTGTAAGGGGAGAGCAGCCAAATCACAAATGCAATTTTCAGCTCGAAATAAAAGGGAAACCTGAGAGAAAGAGGAAAGAAAAAAAAGGAAGAAGAAAGAGAAAGATGGAGAACTGGAATCAAGATCAGCACAGACAGATGGAGATAACTAGCAGGGAGCAGCACAGGTAGAAAGAGTGTAGGCAAGGTAAAGGCTCAGAAACAAGAGAATCAATTGTTCAGGTCAGAAAAGCAGAACCCTTTTTAGAATCCTAGGACATACCTTCTTCGAGTATCATTTAGTCTTTCATCCATAGCCATGAAAACTCCATAAACAGGGCATCTCTCAGCCCTGCAAACACACCAAATTACAATCTGATAGCTACTCTCATCATTCTGAAGTTTCTTCAGAGAGCATCCGCCAGCTGTTAATATCACATTAGCTTCCCTTCTCAATTTCCAAAACTTTCAACTATGTATCATAGTAATGTCACATTCCTGCTAAACTGATGGCTGTTTCTGAAACTTCCAACAGATACTCCTCAGATGAGACACATAAGCAGGGCCAGTGTAAATGAAAATGAGCAGGCAGAACATATGCCTGTCCTCTCTAACCCATACCAAATAAAGTCTGAGAAGATACAATTGCAGAGATTGAAACAAGTGAATGCAAATTCTCTACCAACACAATTAGTAGGAAGAAACTTCTGTTTACGGAAATCCTTTATGTGAATAAGCTGAAGTTCTTATACTTTTTCAATCTTTGTCTACTTTTCAGATTTTATGCAGGTAGAAACAAAGCTGCTGAGAACATCTGAAAGGCATGTGTAGTACTTCATGATTTGTAAGAAGATGAAAGTCTTGACTAACATTGTTTCAGAGACATACGCAAAGCTCAAAGATTAAAGCCATGAAGCAACTGAAGGTACCCTGTTTCAAAGGTTCAGATGAAGCCCTGTAACAATGAATTGTCATTTTTGGAGGCCTCCATATTGCCAAGCACGACACAGAGCACTGAATGGAGTAAGAATCTGCTTCCTTCTATTCCAGTCTGTCCTGCCCTTCCTAGTAAAAGCGAAGTTCATCATGCAAACCAATCACAGCACTGACATGCATGTGACCTGTTCCTCCACAGAAAAGGCTGTCAAAGCAAAATAAGTCCCTTCCTTCTACCATTTTTAAGGTGTTTTTTAGACTATCATTTTTCAAACTGTACCAGTTCACATTAACAGCTTCTCAAAAATATTTCCAGTTATGAATGGATGAAGATCCTTTTACAGATACTGTGCATTTACCCTAAATTTGCAAACAAAGGAGTTGAAACAGCTAAGATGGCAGCTACTACCCACAGTATCTCGAAACCTGCTAATTCTTCACAGGAATTGAAAACTCCTAAAGGAGACAGAGTTTATTTTCTTAGCATCCTAACATTTGTCCTCTCTGCTTAAAAAAAGGCAAAAACCCAAACCAAAGACACAGCAATAACAAAAAACCCCCCACAACATGCCACTAAGGAACTCACCAAGAAAGAACAATGTCTGTAAGTGTTTCTGCAGTGGTGAAAAAGGCAAACACAATCCAGTACATCATCCACTTCACCTGTAAAAGAGCAGTCATTTAATGGACATACATCAGAACCCAGGAAAAAAAATAAAACGTCTTCTCAGTATAAATGACTCATCTCCACACATTAAGACAGATTCAAAAAGAAGCCATATATAATCTGTAATGGACACATACTAAACAGTTTTGGTCTGAGAAAACATGTAAGATTACTGTGCTCTAAATAAACACATACATATACATTGATGAATGCATGCCCTGGAGCAACATTATGGTGCAACAGCGTTAAGGGCCCAAATGACCTATCCAAAAGGATTTATCTGTTCACTTCAAGAAGTTACACTCTTCCATATATCATAAATACCATAAAAAATATATATACACATACATATGTAAAAGCTTAAGTTTCAGCTGCAACCCTATATTTTCCTGATGTAAAGTTTTTCTTTAGGAAGAAAGAAAAACAACAAACCAAGAAACTTATTTTGTGCCAACTCACTAGTAAGCATTCTTTGCTTTAATAATTACTCCCAGAAATCACACAAGCAATTAATTTTTCCTTTTAAATAAAAGCTCACTGAGAGACGTAAAAAAGCAAAGAACATGCCACATCAACCTAATATTCTTGTTTAAGGTTTATAGTAGATGTATGTACTATTATGACACATTTGGACGCCTTTTAAGTATCTCTCTACTTCCTCTCACCTTTATCTGGGACAGCATGCCTTTCAAAGCACAAAATAATCCCCCCCTAATAAACACAGATGCACTCTGCTGTTTTGGTAACTGGTTTCTCAGCTACAAGCCAAGAATTCATTCAGCTTACCCCTCAAGAGGGGTCAGCTGAATTATAAGGGAAATTGCTAGTTTTCTACCCTGTTGAGAATTTAAAAAGAGCATGAGTAGCAGATAAATGAAGAGGACAGCTCATTTAAAAAGAATTTAACACTCTCAGTGTCATCAAGAATGGGAAAAAAAACAAACAGAATCAGGGAAATGCCACATACTAAATCTACACATTAATCAATCTATTAAATTTACATGAACAATTATGTTCACACAATAAAGACATGTTGACAATCCTTGTTACAGCAAATACTATAAAAGCAGGTATTTCCCCAACCTTGCATGTGTTGGAAAATTTGATGTTTTGTTCTGGAAAGACCCTCCACATGCTTCTCATAAAATAAAATTAATCTGCCTCCAGCTGCTCTAACACAGTGAATGGTTTAGAAGATAGTGGTTAATAATCCAAATTATTTCCACTTTACTGCAAACTCTCTCTTTCACAACAGAAAATAGCATAAACTTGTATTGTATGGCTCTCTCCTGCCTTTTTTTTTTTTTTCCTTGTATCATCAGTTTGGACAAGACCAGGTGTCGTTCAGCTGATCTAAAGCAACTTTTCGAAAAGAAAGATTAAATCCTCAGTGCAGCAACGTGAATCAGCTCTTGTATGAAGAAGTGTGTGAATAATCATAAATCTAAGTTTGCAAAAAGGGACCCAAAAGGGTGAGAGATTTCAGAAAACCTATACATCAGTAAATCTTACTTCAGCATTAGGCAAAATGAAGGCAATAATAGTAATAAAAGCAATTAACAAATACCTACATATATGTAAGAAAACAAAGTGTTTTTTTAGAAAAAAAAATTCACAAGTATAGCAGAACTCTTAGGTTTCCATAAGCCTCTGCTAGCTATAGTGCTTTCCTTACAGGGCAAGGGTATATGAAGTTTCTAAATAGTTTCTAACAAATCTATACAAACACTTAAAGAAACAAAATCATCAGGGATAAAAATGAAGGGACTATTGAGCATTAACAATTGGTTAAAAAAAAGGAAACAAAGGATAAAAGTAAATGGCCACTTTTCACAATGAGGAAAGTTACCAGTGGAATCCCACAGGAATCAGTGTTGAGATCTGTGCTGCTCATCTTCATGAAACATCTGGAAAAGGTTGTGAATAGTAAGATGACAAACTGTGCAGAAGATATTTTTCTATCCAAGAGATTAGGCAGAAGTTGATTAAAGAATTCAAAAAAGGATCCTGATTGATCTCTGGCTGACATTTTGTCTCTAAATGGGATTAAATACAAAGCAGTGAACTTACAGTGTCTCCATTTTCTTAGTGAAAACTATTGCATTTAGATATATTAGTAGATGTGACTCAAAAGGGGTCACTGTAGGCAGCCTTACTGTAAGCTTAGTGCTTTTTCACTCTGCTAACGGAATGCTCAGGAGTATGAACTGAGAACAGAAAACTTTGTTTTGTTACTATTTAAATAAACTTCATGTTCACATCTTTGATATTGGACACAGGTCTCTTGCCTCTGTCTCCTTCTGGCACCCATCACCCTATGCTCTAAAGCTGAAGAAAACAAGAAGTATAGCTCCTAAACAAATTAGAAGGATCCTACTTCTAGTTTTAGAAGTCCCTGCAGATGACCTGAAAGAGGAGAAAGCAGATGGGAAGAAGCCCTCTTTTTTTTCTTACGACAGATTACAAACACCTTCCAAAACTGTGGGTTGAATGAGGCTGCATTTTTTTTTTCAGTTTACTAAAAGGAGTCAGGAGTCATTTGCTGCTCACCCTGATGATGACCAGCTTCAGGCACATATACAGTCTCCCCAACTTGCACCAAGAACCTAAACGAATTCAGCAAATGCAAAAGCATAACTGGAACGTAGACTTGACCGATGCTGAAGATGACATGTAAAAAGAAAGAAACTGCTTTTAGGACAATCTGAGCTACTAGAAGTAGTTTGCCACAACTGCTCAAGGGTTTATCCTGAATTTTTATCATGGTGGTAGCACTGCACTCTGATGTCACTGACAAACTGTTTGTGGTAGCTTTGTCTGTGTCACGTCAAGATTCAAAACACGAATACACAGATACACCACTTTAGCACAGATACACCTCAAAGACCTTTCTCCACTACCAAACCCTAACCAATGCTGGTTTGTAAGTGCTATGAGCAAGCAGTAGTACATAAAAGAGCTAGATCTGAAAATGGGCAGTACAGCATTCAAGTTTTCTGCTGACTTTTCACATGAAGAACAGTTTGAATAGATATTGCCCCTTCTGCTATGTTTTCTCCTGTATTTCCACTTGCATTGAAAAGGAAGAAGCGTTTCAAATGTAAGTGAATTACACAGATGGCAGTCCAACATCTAACTGCTTATTTCTGATGCAGTCCTCTCAAGGAAAAATAATTAATATGTAAGTTTCAGCAGTTCAAATACATTTTCTTGAACCACTCTGCTGCAGCAATCCAGACTAAGTACTTCAGGTAACCAATATCATTGAATCACTAAACAAAACCCAAAATATTAATGACATACTTTTCCACATCTTAGGTCTTGTCTCAAGTGATCCACTTAGAACATCGCTTCTGTAAAAAGGCAACACACTACCTCACAAAAAAAATCTGGTGTTGTAAATATGGTAATTGCAGCAAGGGTGTAGAGAGGGAAACAGTTCCAGAAGGGAAGAATGAAGTTTTAACCAACATAAAACACGGACCGCTAGCAAAGTTGACAGGAAGCCACAAACCAAGCAGGATTATTCAACCCTTTGGAAAAAAACAAAAGTAGTACTGAAAAAGCAGTAAAGGACACAAAAAGGAAGGTTAAAGTTACAAAAAAAAACTTGTCCTGGACTTTCATATGCTTCCAGACTGCAGTGTTTCCCCCACTTTCCCTTCGTCACTCAGCATCGCTGAGAAAATACAGCCCACATTTACGGGTTGAAACCTCCCATTTCAGTAAGCACCCATCCTTGGCAGCTTTTCCAGAGACGACTGGAGCTGCTGCTCGGGCGGCCTGGCTGACCCGAGCCCCTGCGGAGCCGGAGTGCCAACGGGGGCTTGCGAGGCGGCCGCGAAGGACGAGGCGGGCCCTGCGCCGGCACGGTAAGCCCGTACTCACATATTCCTTTACGTTTTTCGTCTTCACGGCCTTGTAGGAGGAGTACGCGGGGTAGAGGGTGCCGAAGATCAGCCTACGAGAAGAACAGACCCCTCAGCGCCTCGCGACGCTCGCACCGTCCCCGGCCGCAGCGGCGGGCACTCCTCCCGGGATGCCGGTGCGATGCTGGTCTCCGGGCGGGGCTCAGCCGCCCTCACCGCGGCACCGCCCGTGGGCCGCAGCAGCCCGCGCGAACCCGCCCGTCTGCGGCCGCAGCCGCCCGTGAGGGCGCCCGCCCCCCAGCCGCCGCTTCCCGTGCGTGGGGTCCCGCGGGGCAGCACTGACGCCACCGCCAGAGCCCCGCTCTGGGCCGCGGCCCCCGAGGGACCATCGAGGAAGGGCCCCGCGCCGCGGCCCACACCTCCCAGCGCCCCCACCACACGCACTCACACCACGAGGCGGGAGATTATCCAGGAGACCATGGCGGCACCGGGCGCGGCTCAGGGCTGAGCAGCGGCGGGAGGCGGCTCTTAAAGGACAGGTTCCTGCAGCAAGCGCAGCTCCGCCCCGTGTGCTCGCATGGGAGGAGCCGACGCGGCGGAGGGGGAGGCCGCGAGGCCCCGAGCATCCAGGCGCGCTGCGGAACCTCGCGAGTCGCGCTGCCCGCCGCCCGCTGGGGAAAAGCCCCGCGTTCGCTCGCACCAGGTCGGGAGGTGCGGCGGGAACCCAGGAACGGAGCCACGCCAGCGGAACGGCCGCAGCGAGGTAGACAAGTGGCGTTGCTGGAACGATCGCAGAGAAGCAACATGCGCAACGGAAGGAAAATTACAGGAGAGTGCTGAATTGAGATCACGGGCACTTGGGAGGACAGAGTAAGAGACACCACAGAAGAAGCCATCTTCCCTCCAGTTGCCTCTTCCAGGGAAATCAAGACAACAGCTATTACATGCTGCAAACGGGTAGTTAAGTGTAAAAAGCGTTTCAGGGTTCCACAGCTCGGAGTTTCACCCAAAACCGGATGCAAAACAAAACTCAACTAGCCGATACCGACGTTTGTGTTATCACACCAGAAGAATAAAGGCTGTTACTTGTAGTTTCCAGGAAATTTCAGTGTTGCCAGATACCTTCTCGAAAGCTGAGAGATCAAGGATTCCTTTGTTAACTATACAAACAAGGCTGAACAGCGCATGTGTTGGAATATCCTTAGTGCAGGGTGGGAAATGTGCATAAATGTGTATACTTAAGCATACTGGAGTACCAGAAACGGTTCTATTTTAACAGCTCACCAAGGAATACTTCAAAAGAATCTTCCTCCTCAATCAACCCAGAGCTTATTACTGGGTCCCTGGGAGCCTGTATGTATATTTCAGTCATGGATTGAATAGGCCCTGTACAGAGATCTCTGAATCACACTGACATAACCATTACACAAGTTGGTTTTTAATGAAAAAAAAAATCTAGAGGTCTACCATGGTTCTTCAGCTAACAAAAAAACCAAACAAAAAACCCAACAAACAAACAACAACAACAACAAAAAAAAACCACAAAAAACCCCCCAAAAACTCCACCACTAAAAACAAAAAAAAATCCAAAAAACCCAAACAAACAAAACAAAACCCAAAGGAAGGCACTACGGCAAAGTCTCATTAGTTGCTGGTGTTTGCTGAAGAGCCTTTATGAAAAGGAATGAGACCAAGGAAAGAGTCATAACAAAAACAAAGAGCTGTTTGGGAAGAATTTTCTCATGAATGCATGAAATTCAGTATAATGAGCAATGATGACAAATACAAAACACTGACAACTTTCCATTACATGCAAGAGATGAAAACAAAAATGTCTCTACAGACAGTGACAAAGAACATTTTGTCATAGTCTGCTTTTGGATATGAATGGCCACAAAATGCTTGCAGTAAGGGACTGCACAATTTAGACCACTGATGGCATAACTGACCTACTAACAGGATAAAAGGAATCTGCTTTCACAAGTCCAAATAACACACAAAACCTTCAACAAAATTACTACATTTCTAACTGCATCAGTTTCCTATCGGTGACCAACACAGCAACAGGTCTGTTACTTGAGTAATGTGTTCATGCTTGGGTGAGTGGAAGATGCAAACAGAAGAGGGAAAATGCAGAGATCTGGTGAGTAACACATATGACTGTGTGAGAGCGCTAAATAACTCAGCATGGGTAAGTTACACCTAAATAAAATGTGCCTTAGTGTTTTAAGCTATTTAATGTGCCAAGGGGCAGTATGAAAATTTACAGTGCATTAGACACAAATGGTGGTAAGACCAACAGAATCTCAACATCAGTGGAGAAGGTGGTGTTGTAAATGTAGTGCCAGCTCACTGTTAAGTAGCACGTTAAACTTTAGAACAACTTCAGAAAAGGTATTTTAAGCTAGCAATTTACATTTAGCAATAAATGTTCCATTTTTTCCATATAATAAATTAAAATTATTAATTAAGTAACTTACCTTTCCACAAGAAGAAACTACTGGTATTTTAAGGGCTATTTTTGCAACAAAAGTCAGCTGCAGGTTAAGTGAAAATAAAAATATTTATTAGCAATATTCTTTTTATTAAGTTATTACTACTATTGTATAATGCTGTGTAATTAAGACCTACTCAGGAAAGCAATTCATCACTTGTTTTCAAATTAAGGCTGTATGGGTTTTTTTGCAGATAAGCTACTGCTGAAACAACTCATGATTAAACTTGTGTTCTACAAATAGTCCAAATAAGTCACCAAATATTTGACAATCTGCTATGGCTAAAAAATAAAGCATGGAAATCAAAGAAGCTGTTCCTAGAATAGAGCAGCTTAAGCAAAGCTACATTAAGAAAAATGCCAGGTCAGATTCAGAGATCCTGCTGAAGCTGAGGTTCAGGCAAAAGCTGCTATGAGGAAGAAACAGCTATGCAGGGCTCAAGAATATAGGATTCCCTCTGGAAAAGTTCAGCAGACTAAATATGGGTCTTAGGAATACAGGTGAAATGGAAGAGCACAATGGGAATCCTCTCTGAAGCACAGAAGTGCAGATTGTAGTGGAAGAGTATCAAAAGTTGAAAGAAGTAAGGAGAACAGAAAAAATGGAAGCTGACAGCCAAAAATTACACTGTAAGAGCTGGAAATTGTTCTGAGAACATTTCTTTTAACAGTTTTGCTTTTTGACTGAAAGCTGTTCTCTTAGAAGATACCTTCCTAGAGGAAACAGCTGTATTTTATTGTATCCAGCTCTTGAAGCTTCTATTACCATTTTTCTATTAGACTTTATAAAGGCAGAGATAAATAAAAAGCTCCACTGCAAGGCAGGGGAATGAGGGAGATAAGAAAGAAAAGTAAGATGACTTCTGCCTGGTTATTTTTAAAATGCCTGGTGGGAACATGCAGCTCTTTTTCAAAAGTTGAGAATAGGAATCTTTAAGACACTGCCAACTGAGAGGAAAGAAGCTGTGGGCTGATTTTAGATTCTTAGATGCACTGGAAGATAGTAGCCAGAAGCAGGCATTGGCATGCATATCGGCTCTTGGGGTAAGTTTGGGGAAACACTGAAGTTGACAATCAGAAGATAAGATTCCTTACCAGTAACCAGAACTGGGAAGATGCATTGTCAACATCTCCTTCTGTGTTATGCTTCACTCACATGCTGTGTAGTTTCACAATCATTTTCCACTGAATCAATGTTTACAATGTGTGGTTGATGCATGAATAAATCACTAGTGTGTCATACACCTCAACCAATACCTCAACTGCAGAAGCTCAGAGCTATCAAAGGGCTAGCAGGAGTGAGGAAGAAGGAAATTATACATACAGGGGAGCAATAGTTTTAAATAATATCCATGCCTACTAACTTCTATAATCTTATTTGGATTGTAGGTAAATTCAAGTTACTGCTTAGCATCTAACTTCACTGCTCCAATTCTGATTCCACATCCTCAGGTTTTACAAAAGGCTGTCCAAGAATCTTTCACAGAAATGACACATGGAACATAACTTTAGATGTATTAGGTACTTATTTTTTTCCTATATTTATGTTGCCTGGTACAGTTGCATCAGAGTAAAGATTCAGGTTTTGTAAAATTAAACCTTGCATGCTGCTACATTTTTATTCAGTATCAAGAAGAGAGAATTTCGTCATTGAAAAGAAGTGAAATCTTCAGTCTGGGGACATCACACCTTTACATGGCTGAGCACACACCAACTTTCAATAATGTGAATGCAAGCTAAATTCACTTGTACAGGCCAACAGCCATATATTCCCGAATTCTTGCTTCATCTCGTCTGTAGTTACAGAGGACATTGGCTAAAAGACATTAGACTTTAAAGCTCATATTCAAAAATTGGTGCTGCCCACTGTCTCATGCACCTCCATTTAGTAATAGCAAGAGAGCATTAGGGAGAACAAGTGTGATGACTGCAGCAAACTATATTAAGTCATATAACTCAAGATTTTATTCTCTGCTAAAACCCCTCTGATTTATGATGTCTGCTTTAATCTGCTTACATTCTATGTAACATACCAGCTGCCCCTTAAAATCTTGATCTAGAAAATACTGTGATAAAAACTAGTGATTTTATATCTTAAGTCAATTTTACAACCACTTTAACAGGCTACTTGTGGTATAAGCTCTGTATGATATATGTCAGAACAATCTGATGATGTTTAAGATCTCTTCCAACATAGGCCATTTTATGATTCTATGGTATTTCTTAATTTTAGTAATCTCTCTGATTTTGGCTGACTATTGCTTCAGGTTGATTGTACTCCATGATTAGTAAAAAAGGAAATTCAAGAGACAGAAGCAGTACTTGATAGACTCAAACTAAACAAAGGTTTAGAATGAGACACAAAACTCTCATTGTGGATCACTGCATTCAAAATTACTCATGCTACTGTATTAAATATAGCCAAGTCTCTGCCTTTTTGATCTTTATCCAATTCTAATGCTTATACACACATACACACACAAATGAGAGAAATATCTCAGCTATAATTAATCTCTATGCACAGAGTACAACAGATATGCACAAGAAATTGTACACAACAGAATACAGTGAAGCTGAATGATTCATGGGTCTGAAATAACCCTTTTTATCTCTAGCAGATAAATTAGCCCATATTCACAGGATAGCTGCAAGAGTGTGAGGCAGCAAAAGCCTGTGACTGGACTTTGCACCTAATAACCAAATTGAAAAACTGCTAGAATGCCACATGTCAGTGAACAGAACTGCTGCTGCCATCACAACCTCCAAGGTCAGAAACCACAGAACTTTTACCCCATCCATATCTCCAGTGGAGAGGGCATCTCTGGACCTGCTAGGAAGATAGAGATGGGAAGCACAGTACAAGAGATGTTTTTTATGAGAAGACAAATCCCTACCCAAACTACCTTGAAGGATTAAGAATTAGCAG